ACTAGAATCTTGACATTTGGGAGTTGTAGTTGCTGGGATTTATAGTTCACCTACAATCACAGAGCATTCTGAACCCCATCAGCGATAGAATTGGGCCAAACCTCCCACACAGAACCCCCATGTGGGCCAGAGCAATGCGTGGCAGGGGACGGCTAGTCTATATAAATAAAATATAATATAAATATAAAATATAAATAAAATATAAATAATATAAAAATAAAATATAAATAAAAATCTCACAACTCCATGTATTTCAATATACATCACGTGTCTTCTTAGTTTAAGCTTTAAAACATTTTGGTTTGTTGTATTGTCGAAGGCTTTCATGGCTGGAATCACTAGGTTCTTGTGGGTTTTTTCGGGCTATATGGCCATGTTCTAGAGGCATTTCTCCTGACGTTTCGCCTGCATCTATGGCACCTCTGAGGATGCTTGCCATAGATGCAGGTGAAACGTCAGGAGAAATGCCTCTAGAACATGGCCCTATAGCCCGAAAAAACCCACAAGAACCTAGTTTTGGTTTGTATCTTTAACTTCCAGTCTTTATCAGTCTCTTCAACAGCTGTGTACAACTCTCCTTTATAACTGTCTACTTCCAACCGCCATCTTCATCTGTCATCCCTCACTTGTCATCTTTTAATTGTGTTCTAAACAATCCCTGCTCTGGTCACATGGTCTGCAGCCCCTCCCACAACATCAAGAACATAGAGTGAGGGAAAACTGCATACCAAAGGACACACATACACTTCAGTATTGAAACAGCATATCATATACAGACATATCATTAAACAGAGGAGGCTTGAGAAGGTTGCCTATTTCCAATACCTTAGATGGAATGAGGTGGAACATTTTAACACTGAAAGAAAAAAAAGGAAATAATTGTGTGTGCGTGTGTGTGTGTGTGGGGGGGGGGGGGGGTTATAAAAAAACATCAGATACCAAAACAGATACCACCTTACTTTTTCCTGACAGGTTATCAAAACTTCCAATTATGTTATTATGCTCTATCATCAAAAAAAAGTCATGAAGTAGAAAGCAGGCGTTTCAGTTGTTCTCAACACTTGATCCAGCCTGATATTAACATGTTTGTTGTTTCCTGCCACCTCATAAGGAGAAGGAGGAAATCCTGCTGCTACTCCCCCCCTCCCCCAAGCCAGCTAAGAGGAGGAAGGGGATTGAGGAAGAGACTAAAAACACCTGTCTCCTGGCTGTTGCTTACTACATCTGCCTGCCACCTCAGGAGGAGAAGGAGGAAATCCTGCTGCTACTCTCCCCCTCCCAAGCCAGCTAAGAGGAGGAGGGGACTGAGGAAGAGACTTTAAAAACACCTGTCTTCTGGCTGTTGCTTACTACATCTGCCTGCCACCTCAGGAGGAGAAGGAGGAAATCCTGCTGCTACTCTCCTCCCCCCAAGCCAGCTAAGAGGAGGAAGGGGACTGAGGAAGAGACTTTAAAAACACCTGTCTCCTGGCTGTTGTTTACTACATCTGCCTGCCACCTCAGGAGGAGAAAGAGGAAATCCTGCTGCTACTCTCCCCCTCAAAAGCCGGCTAAGAGGAGAAAGGGGACCGAGGAAGAGACTTTAAAAACACCTGTCTCCTGTTGTGGTTTTATATTGTATTTAATGTTTTTATGTACATTTTGATATTATGTATATAACTCGTTGCATGTAAACCACCTTGAGTCGCCGAAAGGGTGAGAAAGGCGGTATACAAAAACAGTAAATAAATAAACAAATATTAAGAGAATGAGAGGGGAAAATAAAGCTGGTTTGCGCTGCAATCCTGTGTTCACCAACTTGAAAAAAGTATTATTATGGGCTTGCTCATAAGAGGAGTGCTGTTTTCTAGGTCGTATGTGGTCAGCCCTAAGGATACAGGGCCCCCCTGCTTTTTTACTGTCCATTTTTTAATGGCCTGTTCTTTGGATACTTTTGAATTGCAGTAGCATTATAGAATAATAGAGTTGGAATGTAGTATATCATATATTTCAGTCAGTGTTTGTATGTATGATGGTATGTATGTGTGTGTGAATGTGACAGCGTTGATTGGCTCCCAATTCCACAGGCCACTGCGAGCCCCATGAATGACGGATCTGAAAGACACTCGCCACACAAAACCTCCATGACCTACTTTACGTCCTGGTGCAGTTTGGGATATGAGGAGATTTGCAGTATTTTCCATCGCTTCAGCTTCCACAGAAGACTGCAACCGCCACCAATGACAGATCAGGACCAAACTTGGCACACAGACCCCGCATGACCCACCTACTGCCCTGGTGAAGTTTGGGGGAAGATGGGCAACGGGCAATAGGATTTGCAGTACCTTCACACATTCGGCTCCCAAAGACCACTGCAACCCCCACAAATCACAGACCTGGACCAAACTTGGCACACAGACACCCATGACGCACTTTACATCCAGTTGTAGTTTGGGGGAGGATGGAGACAGACGATGGTACCTTCACTCACTTCTACAACTCCCACCACCAATGACGAATGAGGACCAAACTTGGCACACAGAGCCCCCATGGCCCACTCTACCTCCTCATGCAGTTTGGAAGAGAATGGACCATGGATGATAAGACTGAGACCACTGCAACCCACACTAATGTTGAATCAAGACCAAAACTGGCACACAGAACCCGCATGACACACTTTACATACTGGTGTAGGACGGATGGGATTTGCAGTACCGTCACTCACTTCCAGAGACCGTCGCAACCCCCATGACAGACATGGACCAAACCTGACACAAAGGACTCCCATGGTGCACTTCACGTCCTGGTGTGCTTTGGGGGAGGATGGACGACAGATGATGGGATATGCAATACTTTTACCAGATTTGGATCTGACTTCAAACGACCACTATGACCCCCACGAATGACGGGCCTGGACCAAATTTGGCACAGAGACACCCATGAACCTCTTTACATCCTGGTATGGCTTTGGGGAGGATGGACCACAGGTGATGGGATCTGCAGTACCTTCACCTGATCCAGCTCCAAGTTCAACAAACCACTGACACCCACATGAACAATAGACCTAGACCAAACTTGGTACACAGATTCCCCACGACCAACAGAACATACTGGAGAAGTTTGGGGGACATTGAGCTTGGTTTATGGGAGTTATAGTTCACCTGCATCCAGAGAAACTGTGACCCCCACTGACAAACATGGTACAGAAAAGCCCCATGACCAAGTGAACATTCTGCAGGCGTTTGTGAGACTAGACCTTGATTTTGGGAATTGTAGTTCACCTGCATCCAGAGAGCACTGAACCCAGTCAATGACAGACCTGGACAAAACTTGGAACACAGACCCAACATGGCCAACTCTGAATACAGCTAGGGGTCTAGGGGTAATTGTCCTTTAATTCTGGGAGTTGTAGTTCACCCTTATCCAGAGAACACTCAACCCAGCCAATGACAGATCTGGACCAAACTTGGCACACATACCCAACATGGACAACTGTGAATACAGGCAGAGATTGGGGATGACTGCCCTGGAAATCTGGGAACTGTAGTTTATCCACATCCTTACATGCTTTCTAATGGGAGAATATATACAAAACAAAAGTAGAAAGACTGGTGTTTTTCTAATAAATAGAGCTACAGACTATGTTCTGGAACAGCTGTTCCAGGAGCTCCAGATTTATTTGCTGTGTTTAAATGTTTGTGTTTAAATGTTTGCCAACGCCTCCAACCACACCTCTTCTGCCAGCCCACGTTGGTTTCCAAGACGGCAACCTGGTGCATGCGGACAGCGATCGTGCCACGCAGGCAGGCCGAGCAATTCAGGGCCAGAAGCCCACAGCCACCAACTCAGGCACCAAAGCCCAGCCCAGAAATCAGGGTTTCGCCCATTCCTGAGGCCGCAGGTGTCTCCTTGGAATGGACCTTCTAGATTTCAAAAGAACTTCACCTTTACCCCTGACCAAACACCCCTTCCGTTCCTTCAGACTCCTCAGTCGCAGCTTGAGTCTTTGTTTAGGAACCCGAGAAAAGATTTGAGGGACAAAGGTGTGGAGAAATTCTCTGACCGGCCAGAAGATTTCCTACTTTGGAAAAAGACTTTTCAGCGAGCCATTCAGAGTTTAAGACTCTCCTCTGAGGAGCAATTGACTCTTTTGATCGCCTGGCTTGGTCCAGTATCGGCTCAGCAGGTGAGAAGGATTTTCTCGGCTCTCATCGACCAACCAGATAGAGCTTTGGACACTGCATGGACGAGGCTTGATCAGCGCTACGGGACCAGCACCCAAATTGAAGCCTCGCTGATGGACAGACTTCATAAGTTCCCGGTGCTCAAACCTAAGGACTTTGAACAGCTTTGGGACTTGTCAGACTTATTGATTGAGCTTCAGGCCGCCAAGGGAAATCCGCAGCTTCCAGGGTTTGCCTGCCTGGACCAACACCTGTCCCAAACTGCCATCATCCAGAAGCTGCCATTCTCCTTACAAGAAGAGTGGGGCAAAGAAGTCTTCAGATTCAAACAGGCCAACCATCAGGTCTACCCACCATTCGCACATCTTGTAGATTTCGTCACAAATGCTGCCATGCAGTTCAACGACCCACAGACGGGATTTCCAACTCTTTATGGGACTCCAAGGACGGACAGGCCCATCAAAGACCCTAAGAAACCTGCAGATAGTGGCACCAAAAGAAACATCGCCGTCAAGTCCACGGAGACCAACTCATCTCCAGCTGACCCCGAGGATGTTTTGTGCCCACTGCATGCAAAGCCCCACAGTTTGGCCGACTGCAGGGAGTTTGCCAAGAAGCCTCACGCAGACAAGGTCGAGATCCTCAAGAAGTCCAGGATCTGCTTCAGGTGCTGCGGTGCAACTCCCCACCAGTCAAAGTCATGCAAAGAAACGGTGAAGTGCGTGGTGTGCCAATCCGAAAAGCATTGCTCAGCCATGCATGACAAGGATTTCGTGCCCTCCAAGGTCAAGAGCGGGGCCACCAGTCAACGCTCCCCAGAAGATTCAGCTGGACCTTCATCGGGCACTGAGGCACCCTCTGTGGCCTGCACACAGCTGTGCGGCAGCCCAAAGAAAACTAGGATTTGCCACCCCATTTGTTTGGCAGAGGTTTTTCCTGCCAGCAAGCCTTGGATGAAGAAGAAAATGTACGTGGCCCTTGACAACCAAAGCGACGGTTCCCTGGCCACCCCTGACTTCTTCAAAATCTTTAAGGGGCAGGCAAAGACTATTGACTATTGTATTTCTACTTGTACAGGCAAGCAACGAAGACAGGGCCGCGTTGCATCTGGATTTATCATTTCGCCATGTGGCAAAGACATTCGTTTTGAGTTGCCTGACCTTATTGAGTGTGCGTCCATCCCACGCAATAAGGACCAGATTGCTACCAGAGAGATGATGCAAGCGCATCCTCACCTGAAAGGACTACAGGACCTCATTCCACCCTTTGAGCCGGGCATTGACATAGTCCTGCTCATTGGATCCAACTGCCCCAGCTTGATGAGCGTCCGAGCTGAAAAGAGAGGTCCTCTTGGTGCACCTCTGGCGCAGAAGACTCCTTTAGGATGGACCATACAGGGACCTGTATGTGTCGACAGAATGCATCCTCTGTCTTCTCTGTGTCCAGATCAGCCCAACACCCTCAATTGTGGCAGAGTCACCCTCATGCAGATTTGTCTCAGCCACATTTCGGTTTGCTGCCAAGGAGTTTCATCTGAGTTCTCTTCCATCTTCGACGTCTCCCGGGACGACGAGAACACAGCGCTCTCCCAAGATGAGCAAGCGTTCCTGAACATCATGAACTCCGAGGTCACTCTCAGCGAGGAAGGGAATTGGATCGCCCCTTTGCCCTTCAAAGCAGACCGGCTTACCCTGCCTCCCAACAGACAGGTAGCAGAGAAGAGACTGCAATCTTTAAGACGCAAGATGCAGCGTGATCACAAGACCAAACAGCAAATCGGTCAGGCTCAAGTTTTACACCAGCTGAGCATCCCATGCCAATTCACGGCCAGGAGCCCTTTACAGAGCTTGCACACCAAACTCCATGTCTTTTGCGATGCTTCAGAGAAAGCTATTGCAGCTGTGGCTTATGCCAGACGCAAAGACTCTAGTTCTTGCACTTCAGGTTTTGCTACGGCCAAGGCTAAGATTGCCCCATTTCACACCACTGTCCTTAGGTTAGGACTCTGTGCTGTTGTGCTAGCTATCCAATTAGCTCAGATAATTAGGAGAGAGACTAGGCATTTCTTTTCAGTCATCTTCACCTGTTTTGTTATCCGAGCCATTCACATCGAGGTCATTGAGTGTATGGATACTTCAGCCATTTTGAATACAGAAAAGGTTACATGGTTATTTAATGTACCGCATACGTCTCACATGGGGTGTGTGTGGGAACGTATGATTGGTTTGTGTATAAAGATTTTAAGTGCTATATTTCTAGAGTGTAAGAATTTGACTCATGATGTTTTGATCACTTTGATGGCGGAGGTGACAGCAATTGTAAATAGTCGCCTATTGGTGCCCATCACCACAGACTCTGATACTCCACAGCTTCTCACTCCTGCATCCATTTTGACTCAAAAACTTCTGAATGGCAGGAAATTATGTACCCTGTTCCTGAAGGGTCTTACAAGGTACTCTGGAAACAAACCCAAACTCTTGCCAACCAGTTTTGGAGACGCTGGAAGGCAGAGTACTTGGCTCAACTCCAGAGTCGCAGGAAATGGAAAGACTCCAAGCCCAACCTCCAAGTTGGGGACATTGTTTTGTTCAAAGACTCCGTACCTCGTTTCATGTGGCCTTTGGCCAAAGTTACAGAGACCTTGCCAAGTCCGGATGGAT